ACCCTTTTTGGGTATTCCACATGTGCCCAGGACCTAGTGCAGCATTTTGTGTTTTCATGAGTCAGTCTTCAGTAATTAGTTTGTCATATAATGTTTAGTTATGCATACTTTGCATTTTTCCAGATCTTTTAAATTCCAATCCTTCAGCATCACTTTCTGATCAATGATTAACAAGTAAATGTCACAATCAACACTAACCTGAAATTGTGTATCACCATAGCATTTTGGGACCAACAGTAGGCAGCTGTTGCAGTCTCATCAAAGTGCCAGTGTTGAGGATGTCAAGAACCTCACTGTTGTGTTTTTGTTGTAACCGTGGGCTCACCGTTAGCACCCAATTTTCCATTGTCTTGTCAGCAAGAACACTCTTATTTTCCTGAAAGCAATGAGGTTTAAGCATTTTTTATGATTAAATTAGTCTAGACAATAGTAAATTAAAATTATATATTAAAATACTATACTGTCATCTTTTATCCATGAATCAAAAAATAAACCCTTTATCATACCTTTGTATTTCTTTGTAGTAGCAAGTGATGACCTTCGAGTCTGTTCATGTTTGTGACAGGACTTTCTCCATTCAGGATCTCAAAGTTTAGCTGAGTTGCTTTAATTGCTGATCTTCTTGAAGACCTTCGCATTTGGCTCTTTTCTTGTCCTAAACTCTTTTCTATTTGTACCAATGTATTATCTGAAGTTCTCAATTCAACATTTTCTTTTGATTTATTACCATCATTCCTTGAATGTGGCTCTATTCTCAGTTTAGGAAACCTTAGGACAGGTGAAGAGTCGTTATTGGAAATATTAGCAGTGCTGCTAATACTCTCACAATTTAAAGAATTTGTTCCATTTCTTTCAATGTCAAAGAATAGAGAAGAGCTTCTACTAGAATCTGACTTGAGTGAAACTTTCCTCAGCATTGCACTGTTGATACTCTGTTTGGTTGATAATCTTGTAGACTTTCTTGCATGTCTATTATCCCTTAATGCTGTGCTTGTTACAGGAAGACTATACAGCTCTTCATTAACTCTGTCCATGACTAATGTTTGATTAGTATCATATGAGAATGTTTTATTGGCAATCCGCGATAAACCAATATTCTCCTTTAAGTAGCTGGTCTTGCTTTCTTGTGCATTTGTTATGTTTCCAAGAGGTTGTCGTTTTTGATTATTTTCTTTATCTTGAAAGGTTTTAGTCACAGGCTGATTTACAGGCAAAGCACTGTAGCATGTACTTCTCTGGAAGGAGTGACAAATTTAGTAAAACACTGAAACCCACATTTAAGAAGTAACAAATTTTTAAAGAAATGTTATACATTTGTACTTTTGTTTTCTAAACAAACACACCTTATTTGCTTGTTCAAAAACCAGAAATGAAATTCATTTTTAATTTGGACTTCCTGAATAGAGTAAACCTGATAACTTCACCCTTCACAAACAAGATTTTCATTGCCTTATAGAATATTTGAACAAGAAAACCTATAATATACAAAAGATTAGGGGTGCATCACACTGCATATAATTTTTTAATTTGTTTGGGAATCTCTGTCCCTATGTTATTACTGCTCTATTTACTAAACAAAACACTGCTGTAAAACTTGAAAACTTTTAACCTCATCCATGCAAACCAAGAATAAAGTAAAAGTAAATTTTGGTTGAAAATATAAATACAGAGATCACAATACAATTTCACAGTTTATACTGTTATGAGCACAAGTACATGGTGCTTACTGAAAAATATTTTACTAGTAGGAAAATGAATAGGCCATTATTTACATTTCCTTGTTTTGTTGCAAATCACTTTATGCACTGCAGAGAATTAATTGTTAAAAAAGGTCCTAATATGAAAAAAAATTACAGGTTGCACAATGCAACTGTTGTGCATTTGGCTTTTGCTTATAAATGGGTCCACCTCAAGTCTTATGACTTGAGACGAACCCCTAAAATCAATTCAGAATTTAAAAATAATTGTCAGTAACAAATGTCAGAAAATGGAACCTTTTAACTATAGTGACAATCCAGGTCCTCAACCTTGGAACATTTGATGCACCCTCATCAACAAGAATATAAATAAAGTATGGTACTTACTCTCTGTTGATCCTCCTTTATATCTTTCTTAATAGCAATTGATAAATGATCTTGGAGCTCAGGATTATTTAAGAAAGCATGAGCAATGGATGTTACCAGAATATTATCATCTGAGATATCACTTGATTTTCCATCCTCAGCATCTGTAGGTGTTGAAGATTGGGATTTCTTGTATTTGTTGATCTTTTTACTTTTGCTAGAAAATTAATAAAACAAAATGAATATATATATATATATATAAAAACTGCTGAAAGTTAAGACACTTGTGCAACATCTGGTTATCTTTATTGTAGACGTTTCGCCATCCAGTGGCTTTATCAATACAGATTCTTGGACATAAGAAATCAGAAGAACTATAACTGTATTAATGTTGGTAGAATTACCGACAATTTTTTTTTTCAACACGCCGGTCATCTCCCACCGAGGCAGGGTGACCCAAAAAGAAAGAAAATCCACAAAAAGAAAATACTTTCATCATCATTCAACACTTTCACGTCACTCATACATAATCACTGTCTTTGCAGAGAAGCTCTGATATGACAGTTTAGAAGTCCCTCCAAACTGCCAATATCCCAAACCCCTCCTTTAAAGTGCAGGCATTGTACAGTGGACCCCCGCATAACGATTACCTCCAAATGTGACCAATTATGTAAGTGTATTTATGTAAGTGCATTTGTACGTGTATGTTTCGGGGTCTGAAATAGACTAATCACTTCACAATATTTCTTATGGGAACAAATTCGGTCAGTACTGGCACCTGAACATACTTCTGGAGTGAAAAAATATTGTTAACCGGGGGTCCACTGTATTTCCCATTGCCGGGACTCAAGTCCGACTAACCAGTTTCCCTGAATCCCTTCACAAAATATTACCCTGCTCACACTCCAACAGCTCATCAGGTCCCAAAAACCATTCGTCTCCATTCACTCCTATCTAACACGTTCACACATGATTGCTGGAAGTCCATGCCCCTCGCCCACAAAACCTCCTTTACCCCCTCCCTTCAATCATTTTGAAGATGACCCCTACCTCGCCTTCCTTCCCCTACAGATTTATATGCTCTCCAAGTCATTCTACTTTGATCCATTCTCTCTAAATAACCAAACCACCTCAACAACCCCTCTTCAGCCCTCTGACTAATAATTTTAGTAACTCCGCACCTCCTCCTAATTTCCACACTCTGAATTCTCTGCATAATATTTACACCACACATTGCCCTTAGACAGGACATCTCCACTGCCTTCAACCGCCTCCTCGCTGCTGCATTTACAACCCAAGCTTCACACTCATATAAAAGTGTTGGTACCACTATACTTTCATACATTCCCTTCTTTGCCTCTATGGATAACATTCTTTGTCTCCTCAGATACCTCAACGCACCACTCACGATTTTTCCTTCATCAATTCTATAGTTTACGTCATCCTTCATAAACCCATCCGCTGACAAGTCAACTCCCAAATATCTGAAAACATTCATTTCTTCCATACTCCCTCCCTCCAATGTGATATGCCTGCCCTGTATCGATTTTCAGATGTTGAAAGTGTGTGAAGTGTGAAGCCTAGAGAGGTTTGGCCCAATGGTTAATGTGCGAGGGTGACTAGTACTGGCTAGTGCATTTCTAGTAGAAGTAGGGAAGGCACTGGAGCCCGATATTTGTTTTAAGGAGAAATGACGGGTAAGGAGGCTTTGCACCAGATAGCAACTGTTATGCTGGTCAGCTGCCAGGTGTACTGATTGTACTGCCTTGTTGAAGTTGAGAAGGTTGAGGGAAATATATGTAGTTGAATAATTTTGTATCATGCTATGTATAATTTTGTCTTTGTATTGTAATAGAATTAAGGGGTTAGGATTAAAAATAGTCTAATAACTTAACACAAAATGTCCTAGTTCTCAGATATTTTAAGCTGGGGAAGAAAGGGGGATGTGATGTAGTTCAGCTGGGCTTGTGAGGTCTCTGGGGAGACCTAATTTAACCAATTATATGGTCACCTTGCCTTGGCAAATAGCTGTCAGAGCCATGCCTTTTCGGCTTAAGTCTCAGCTCCTTTGTTCGTCACTGGCATCAGATCTCGGCATCAGGTCGTAACATGTGGTGCACACCCCATTGTGGAGGGTGCTTGGACCACCATATAAGACCAAGGAACAGCATGATCAAGAGACTTCGAGCGGAGCTGCTGCTGTGTGCAGGGCTCTGAGCAGGAGATTCGAAAGGAGCTGCTGCTGGGGTGCAGGGCTCCGGAGAAGGCTGCTGAAGTCTCTGGAGGAGACTGTTGAAAACACTGGGAAGAGTACTGGCTTGGAGCAGTACTCGTGCTGTGTAGGTCTTGAGACCTGTAGCTTAGTTCCTGTGGTGAACTGTCCTCTGAACTATACTGCAAGTTATATTCATTTTTGTCAAGTTGATTGTATTCCCTGTCTCACTGCTTATATGTACCACCCCATTTATCAAAACCACAATAATGTTCTCCTGTTCCCAAATATATTATTGTACAAGGACTTAATAATAAACTGTATTTGAGTAGAATAGTAATATTCACTGTCCCCATTAATTGCTCTTTTATTCATTATTTTATTTCAAGTAGTGAGAGGGTGAGTAGTGTGGTGGGTAGAGTAATGAGAGGTGAAGGTGTAGTCACCAGTGACCTCACATTACCTACCGACCTCCACTAATCATCTCTCCTGCCACTCGACTCAGACTCTCCTGCCTTACTCCAGTTTACTCCGTTATTCCCCAGTTATGCTTACGTTTCAATACCCCCCTACATGACAGTGTGAGGATGTTAGATAGGAATGGAGATGAATAGTTTTTGGGACTTGAAGAGCCATTAGAGTGTGAGCAGGATAATATTTTGTGAAGGGATTTAGGGAAACCAGTTAGCCAGATTTGAGTCCTGAACTCAAGAAATCGTAATGACACGATTGCAAATCGTGTCATTACGATTTCTTGAGTCATGTTGACGGCAGTGAAGGGACTTGAGCTAGAGTTCGTCACGGCCACGCTAGCTGGAGATTCGTCTGTAAAAACTTGCATTTGTGGTCACAGTGGTGCCTGTGTTAACCTTCCTATGGTGTAGAAATATACCTAGTTGGATGAATCCTATTGTGGCTAGCTGGTCTAGTGGCTAACGCGACGGGCTGGAGTTTTAAGACTCTATGACCGCGGGTTCAATCCCGGCTGGGGGTATGGTTTGAGTCCTGAAAGTGGGAATTACAATGCCTACACTTTAACCCCTTCAGGGTCCAAGGCCCAAATCTGAAGTGGTGCCCCAGTGTCCAAGAATTTAAAAAAAAAAAAAAAAAATTTATTTTTTCTTATGAAATGGTAGAGAATCTTTTTGTGAAGGTAATAAAATAAAAAGTACGAAATTTGATGGAAAATTCACGAAATTATGCTCTCGCGAATTTTGATGTGTCAGCGATATTTACGAATCGGCGATTTTGCCGACTTTGACTCCCATTTTAGGCCAATTACATTATTCCAGTCAACCAAATTCTTAGCTATTTCACTAGTATTACTTCTATTCTATCGATTGAGTTCAAGAAATCGCCAAGTCAACTGTTTCAACTACAAATTAAAGTGATCGGAAATTGTTAATTTGGCCAATTTAACACAAAGTTCAAAATATTCCAATTTCAAAATAGGGTCCAGAACAAACAATGTAGGTATTCCTGGAACTAAACTAACATTTCCTCTGTTCATTAGTTACGTTTTGAGGCTTTACAAATAAATTCCATTTTGATTTTTTATTCACATAGTGAATTTTTATTCACACCAAAAAATAGAAGATTTACTGTTATGCAATACTGTAATAATTGTATAAATATCATCACCATATTTGTGAATGCATATTAGACCCACCAGCTGGCGTGTATTAGACGTGTGAGGTCGTTTGTTTACTCTTGAATATCAGCAAAAATTTAACATTTCTGCTAATTTGAGCTCAGTTTCAAGCCATTTCCAGTGCTAAAACCAATCAAAATCATCTCTATTTCTGTAATATGTCTTCCATTCTATCAAATGAGACCAAGAAATCGCAAATATAACTATAAAAACATACGAAAAAACACTGCAAAGTCGCTGTATTAATCGAAAAATCATGATTTCAGTTTTTTTTTCTCTCATTATACACAGTGTGCTGCAGGATCTGTTTTATGTGGTGCACACATACCACATAGATGCATTCTCTCATATCTAGGCCCAAATGTACCACTCACAGTTTATCAGAGTGAGCTGAGCTCATGACGCAGATCTATGGTTTGGACCCTGAACGTAAAGCCGTAGATCTACGGGACAGACCCTGAAAGGGTTAAAGGAGGGGTTTGGGATATTTTCTGTTTGAAGTTACATCCAAACTGTTGTATTTGCACTCTTCTGCAAAGACACTGATTATGTGTGAATGATGGTGAAAACGTTTCTTTCATTTTTTAGGTCACCCTGCCTCAGTGAGGGAGACAGCCAATGTGTTAAAAAAAAAAAGTGGGACATATTTGGAATATTACATGAAGTTTTGGTCCAATCAAAATATCAATAATAATGCCACCAACACATGAATTAGATTAAAACAAAGGAAGAGTAAAAATGTACAGGCATAATAATACTATATTACTAAAGCTTAAATACAGTAACTATATATTTTAAAGAAACCCACCTTGATATTTTTTTGCGAGAAAGTTTTGAGATTAATTTGTCGACTATACGATCTTCAAAATTTTCCTGGTAAATACTGACGTACTTCTCCCAATGGTTAGTCATGGGCTCAGACACTGGGCTGCAAAGTGAATTAAGAATGAACACTTAGGCACATTGTGTAACATTATATCTGAATCAACTGAAAATTTTACACTTCACAAAGAATGGAGATAAATGGTATAATATGCCAACATAATGGAAAAACAGACACAAACACAGTATACATAGGGTGGAGAGTCTCCACCTTATATATACTCATATACTCTTTACCCAGGTAGATCTGCTTGTGACTTAATAAAGCCCACTGTGTGGGCAAAACATTGTCAATAAAAGAACGCATTATACTGCATTTGTCTATTTTTCTATCACAAGGAGTAATAAATGGTACAGCTTTTGATATATTTTCTATATGAATGTTGCTACTACAATTTTATAGCTCCAGTGACATTTTTCTCCATGAACCATCTGTACTAGTTGTCTGCTGATGCACTGGGGCTTGTCGATCTTTTCACACTTTTTCTGAATTACTTTATTCAAAGCTTTTGAATCCAGTTTCACCAGTACAAGTATGAAATCCTCCTCACTGGGCTCTAAAACACAACTTAGACTCAGCCCTGAGAATTTTACCAAGAGCTACCGTGAGCTCAAGCATGAGATTCTTAATATCATCCTAAATTTCTAATCACTGGTTAATGTGCTTGCTTCTGTAAGTCATCCTGTGTTAGTAGGAACAAATTCAATTTCTAAATTCATTCACTTTCCCTGTATGTACTCTATCTACCTCTCATCAACATAATCTGCACTGAAATAACTTTTCCTAGCAAGGTACAAAATCTTTCAACTCATTTATTAAATTCCCTCTACCATTGAACTTGTGGAACTTATCATATTTCGATAATTAATCTTCTATTTCTCTGATCAAACACAAATCAGCTACCAGCAAATAACTGACTGGCAAGGATCCAATCTTTCCAACAATCTCCATTTTCCTGTATTGTATCGCTACTTCATTCATATGGACTACGTCAGACCTAGTTAAAAATTTATTCTTTCACTCACACATATGCACAATTTACTACCAATCAAGTAGAAGCCATCAATCTCCATCCCCCAACCCCATATGCACACTAATGTTTGGCATAAGCTTCTCCAGATAAATTAGTTTTAACTTAAACTGTAACACTCAATTTCTTCACTCCTCTTAATTTTTAAAGATTCCATAAATTCTGAATCTACATAGAAGAATCAGTACAGACATTTCTTACAATAAAAGTAATATAAATTTATACTATAGTACTTTGTTACCTGGAAATTTTTAGATACATATATTCTGCCTCTTTTTGGCTATTGAGCTCAAAAAATGTATATTTTTTTTTTTTTCAACAAGTCGGCCGTCTCCCACCGAGGCAGGGTGACCCAAAAAAGAAAGAAAATCCCCAAAAAGAAAATACTTTCATCATCATTCAACACTTTCACCACACTCACACATTATCACTGCTTTTGCAGAGGTGCTCAGAATACAACAGTTTAGAAGCATATATGTATAAAGATACACAACATATCCCTCCAAACTGCCAATATCCCAAACCCCTCCTTTAAAGTGCAGGCATTGTACTTCCCATTTCCAGGACTCAAGTCCGACTATATGAAAATAACCGGTTTCCCTGAATCCCTTCACTAAATATTACCCTGCTCACACTCCAACAGATCGTCAGGTCCCAAGTATCATTCGTCTCCATTCACTCCTATCTAACACGCTCATGCACGCTTGCTGGAAGTCCAAGCCCCTCGGCCACAAAACCTCCTTTACCCCCTCTTTTCCAACCCTTTCGAGGACAACCCCTACCCCTCTTTCCTTCCCCTATAGATTTATATGCTTTCCATGTCATTCTACTTTGATCCATTCTCTCTAAATGACCAAACCACCTCAACAACCCCTCTTCTGCCCTCTGACTAATGCTTTTATTAACTCCACACCTTCCCTAATTTCCACACTCCGAATTTTCTGCATAATATTTACACCACACATTGCCCTTAGACAGGACATCTCCACTGCCTCCAACGTCTCCTCGCTGCTGCATTTACCACCCAAGCTTCACATCCATATAAGAGTGTTGGTACTACTATACTTTCATACATTCCCTTCTTTGCCTCCATAGATAACGTTTTTTGACTCCACACACACACACACACACACACACATATATATATATATATATATATATATATATATATATATATATATATATATATATATATATATATATATATATATATATATATATATATATATATATATATATATATGTATGTATGTGTGTGTGTGTGTGTGTGTGTGTGTGTGTGTGTGTGTGTGTGTGTGTGTGTGTGTGTGTGTGTGTGTTGTGTGTGTGTGTGTGTGTGTGTGTGTGTGTGTGTGTGTGTGTGTTGTGTGTGTGTGTGTGTGTGTGTGTGTGTGTGTGTGTGTGTGTGTGTGTGTGTGTGTGTGTGTGTACTCACCTAGTTGTACTCACCTAGTTGAGGTTGCGGGGGTCGAGTCCGAGCTCCTGGCCCCGCCTCTTCACTGATCGCTACTAGGTCACTCTCCCTGAGCCGTGAGCTTTATCGTACCTCTGCTTAAAGCTATGTATGGATCCTGCCTCCACTACATCGCTTCCCAAACTATTCCACTTACTGACTACTCTGTGGCTGAAGAAATACTTCCTAACATCCCTGTGATTCATCTGTGTCTTTAGCTTCCAACTGTGTCCCCTTGTTACTGTGTCCAATCTCTGGAACATCCTGTTTTTGTCCACCTTGTCAATTCCTCTCAGTATTTTGTATGTCGTTATCATGTCCCCCCTATCTCTCCTGTCCTCCAGTGTCGTCAGGTTGATTTCCCTTAACCTCTCCTCGTAGGACATACCTCTTAGCTCTGGGACTAGTCTTGTTGCAAACCTTTGCACTTTCTCTAGTTTCTTTACGTGCTTGGCTAGGTGTGGGTTCCAAACTGGTGCCGCATACTCCAATATGGGCCTAACGTATACGGTGTACAGGGTCCTGAACGATTCCTTATTAAGATGTCGGAATGCTGTTCTGAGGTTTGCTAGGCGCCCATATGCTGCAGCAGTTATTTGGTTGATGTGCGCTTCAGGAGATGTGCCTGGTGTTATACTCACCCCAAGATCTTTTTCCTTGAGTGAGGTTTGTAGTCTCTGACCCCCTAGACTGTACTCCGTTTGCGGCCTTCTTTGCCCTTCCCCAATCTTCATGACTTTGCACTTGGTGGGATTGAACTCCAGGAGCCAATTGCTGGACCAGTTCTGCAGCCTGTCCAGATCCCTTTGTAGTTCTGCCTGGTCTTCCATCGAGTGTATTCTTCTCATCAACTTCACGTCATCTGCAAACAGGGACACCTCAGAGTCTATTCCTTCCGTCATGTCGTTCACAAATACCAGAAACAGCACTGGTCCTAGGACTGACCCCTGCGGGACCCCGCTGGTCACAGGTGCCCACTCTGACACCTCGCCACGTACCATGACTCGCTGCTGTCTTCCTGACAAGTATTCCCTGTGTGTGTGTGTGTGTGTGTGTGTGTGTACTCACCTATTTGTGGTTGCAGGGGTCGATTCATAGCTCCTGGCCCCATCTCATCACTGATTGCTACTAGGTCCTCTCTCTCCCTGCTCCATGAGCTTTATCATACCTCGCCTTAAAACTATGTATGGTTCCCGCCTCCACTACTTCACTTTCTAGGCTATTCCACGGCTTGACTACTCTATGACTGAAGAAATACTTCCTAACATCCCTTTGATTCATCTGAGTCTTCAACTTCCAATTGTGACCTCTTGTGTCCTATCTCTGGAACATCCCGTCTTTGTCCACCTCGTCTATTTCGCGCAGTATTTTATATGTCGTTATCATGTCTCCCCTGACCCTCCTGGCCTCCAGTGTCGTCAGGCCGATTTCCCTCGACCTTTCTTCGTAGGACAATCCCCGTAGCTCTGGGACTAGTCTTGTTGCAAACCTTTGCAATTTCTCTAATTTCTTGACGTGCTTGACTAGGTGTGGATTCCATACTGGTGCTGCATACTCCAGTATGGGCCTGACGTAAATGGTATACAGTCTTGAACAAATCCTTACTGAGGTATCGGAACGCTATCCGTAGGTTTGCCAGGTGCCCGTATGCTGCAGCAGTTATCTGATTGATGTGCGCCTCGGGAGATATGCTCGGTGTTATACTCACCCCCAGATCTTTTTCCTTTGGCCATCTAAACTATATTGTGTCTGCGCTCTTCTTTGCCCTTCCCCAATCTTCATGACATTGCATTTGGCAGGGTTAAACTCAAGGAGCCAGTTGCTGGACCTGGCTTGTAGCCTGTCCAGGTTTCTTTGTAGTCCTGCCTGATCCTCAGCCGATTTGATTCTTCTCATTAACTTCACATCGTCCGCAAACAAGGACACTTCTGAGTCTATCCCTTCCGTTATGTCATTCACATATACCAAGAACAGCACAGGTCCTAGGACTGACCCCTGTGGAACCCCGCTTGTCACAGGCGCCCACTCTGACACCTCGTCACGTACCATGACTCATTGTTGCCTCCCTGTCAGGTATTCTCTGATCCATTGCAGTGCCTTTCCTGTTATGTGTGCCTGATCCTCTAGCTTTTGCAGTAACCTCTTCTGAGGAACTGTGTCGAAGGCCTTCTTGCAGTCCAAAAAAATGCAGTCGATCCACCCCTCTCTCTCTTGTCTTACTTCTGTCACCTTGTCATAAAACTCTAGTAGGTTTGTGACACAGGATTTTCCCTCCCTGAAACCATGCTGGTTGTCAATTATACACTTGTTTCTTTCCAGGTGCTCCACCACTCTCCTCCTGATGATCTTCTCCATGACCTTGCATACTATACATGTTAGTGATACAGGTCTGTAGTTTAGTGCCTCATGTCTGTCTCCCTTTTTAAAAATTGGGACTACATTTGCCATCTTCCATACCTCGGGGAGTTGCCCAGTTTCAAATGATGTGTTGAAGATCTTTGTTAACGGTACACACAGTATCTCTGCTCCTTCTTTAAGGACCCACGGAGAGATGTTGTCTGGTCCCACCGCCTTTGAGGTGTCAAGTTCGCATAGCAGCTTCTTCACCTCCTCCTTGGTTATATGTACCTCATCCAGCACTTGCTGGTGCACCCCCCTACTCTGATTTCCTGGAGTCCTACTGGTTTCCACTGTAAATACTTCTTTAAATCTTGTGTTGAGCTCCTGACATACCTCCCGGTCGTTTCTTGTGAATTCCCCATCACCCTTCCTCAGTCTGATTACCTGGTCCTTGACTGTTGTTTTCCTCCTGATGTGGCTGTACAACAGCTTCGGGTCAGTCTTGATTTTCGATGCTATGTCATTTTCGTATTGCCGCTGAGCCTCCCTTCTTATCTGTGCATATTCGTTTCTGGCTCTTCGGCTAATCTTTTTATTTTCCTGAGTTCTCTGTCTTCTGTACCTTTTCCAATTCTAGTACACCTAGTTTTTGCCTCCCTACACCTTTGGGTGAACCAAGGACTCGTTCTGTTCTTCCCATTATTTCTGTTTCCCTTGGGAACAAACCTCTCCTCTGCCTCCTTGCATTTTGTTGCCACATAGTCCATCATTTCTTGTACTGGTTTTCCTGTCAGTTCCCTCTCCCACTGAATGTCTTGAAAGAAGTTCCTCAAGCCTGAGTAGTTCCCCCTTTTGTAGTTTGGTTTTTCCCACCCTATTCCTGCTGCTCTCTCCACTTGGAGCTCAACTATGTAGTCGAAGCACTGAACCACATGATCACTAGCTCCCAGGGGCCTTTCATACATGATATCCTCGATGTCAGAACTACTCAAGGTGAATACAAGGTCCAGTCTTGCTGGTTCATCCTCTCCTCTCTCTCTGTTAGTGTCTCTAACATGTTGATGCATGAGGTTTTCCAGTACCACATCCATCATCTTGGCTCTCCATGTTTCAGGACCCCCATGGGGCTCCAGGTTTTCCCAGTCAATCTCCTTGTGATTGAAATCACCCATAACTAGTAACTTTGCTCCCCCCATGTGTGCTCTCCTGGCCACCTCGGCTAGTGTGTCAACCATTGCTTTGTTGCTCTCATCGTATTCTTCTCTTGGCCTCCTGCAGTTCTGTGGCGGGTTGTACATTACTGCAATTATCACCTCATGTCCCTCAGACTGGATTGTTCCTACTAAGTAGTCCCTTTCGCCCATGCCATCCATTCCTTCCATTTTCTCAAACCCCCACTGGTTTTTAATGAGCAGTGCAACTCCTCCTCCCCCTCTCCTCCCTCTGTCTTTCCTGAGGATTTGATATCCGGATGGAAAGATTGAATCTGTTATTATTCTGGTGAGTTTTGTTTCTGTGAGTGCTATTATGTCTGGGGATGTCTCCTTGATTCTTTCGTGCCACTCCTCATACTTATTTGTTATTCCATCTGCATTTGTATACCACACCTTCAACTTCTTTTCTAAGATTGTGGTCTGGGAGGTGTATTGGGGTTGGGGAAGTGGGAGACCTGCTAAGGAACTATGGGTGGTTGCTGTGGGGGTGGAGTTTGTAATGCAGTGGGTGGGGGCATTGGATGTGGCATGGGTGTTTTGGTTTAGAGTGTTTGGTTGCACTGGGGTTGACCTGGTTGGGAGGCTTCTATAGGAAGTTGTTAGGGAGGATATGTATGTATGTATGTGTGTGTGTGTGTGTGTGTGTGTGTGTGTGTATGTGTGTGTGTGTGTGTGTGTGTGTGTGTGTGTGTGTGTGTGTGTGTGTGTGTGTGTGTGTGTGTGTGTGTGTGTGTGTGTGTGTGTGTGTGTGTGTGTGTGTGTGTGTTTGTTTTAAGCTAGTATAGATGATAATTCTCTAAGGAACTACTCTACACAAGCTCACAATCATGGACATCTAATACAATGGATAATGAATTTTCTACATACCCAAGCATGGATGAATGAGCCTCTGTGTCATTTATGGCTGAAACAGTTGAAAATCTTGAGGGTGAGTCATCTTCAAAAATGGTTGGTTTGAGGGTGGAGAACATAGATGTAGGTGGTGGCATATCCCAACCAGCTCTTAGAGAATTATTTAGAATTTCTTTATGGCTGTAAATAAAAAATATATATAGTATGTACAGTGCAACAAAAATAGGATTAATGAAAATTTTTGAAGAGAACTACAGTAAAGCAAGATTAAGAATTCTGGCATTGATGAACCAAACATGACTACAATAAAGCAAGATTAAGAATACTAAAACTGATGAGCCAAAGTGTTGATGTTCATATGAAATACAGAGATGGACACAGATGTAAATATTACCATGAGAAAATTGTATGAAAAAAAAAAAACTACATACTTGTATGAGCCACAGGGAGACCCAAAAACACTTTCAATGTGATATATGCAATAACTTACATACTAATCACAAAGGTACAAAATAACTAAAAATATTCAAGAAAAAAGTATGACAATAAAGATATATTTGAATTTTGTTTGTAAATATTGTATTAGTTAATAGGCATTATAAAACTTACAAGTACTAATTCACACTATTATATACATGCTCCATGGCTCGGTTGGTGGCACACTCAGTTCACATAATGATTCCCGGAATGGGTGGAAATGTTAGGCGTGTTTCCTTACACCTGCTGCCCCTGTTCGCCTAGCAATAAGTAGGAACTTGGGTGTTAGACAACAGCTGAGGGTCATATCCTAGGGGTGGTAGTATACCTCAGATACAGCAGTGCTCTGAAATGACCTAAGGTAGGATAACAGCCCTCAGCCTATTACACTGAACTGTGTTAAAAAAAAAAAAAAAAAAAAAAGTCACCTTTGTTTTCCAACACGCTGGCTGTCTCCCACTAGGCATGGTGACCCCTCCCCCCAAGAAAAAAAAAAACACTTTCAACATCATTCACATTATCATTGTCTTTGCAGAGGTGTGCAGGTATGAGAGTTCAGATGTCACTCCAAACAGCAAATATCTCAAACCTCTCTAAAAGTGTATGCATTGTATTTCTCACGTTCAGGACTCAAGTCAAGCTAACTGGTTTCCCTGAATCCCTTCACAAAATATTACTCTGCTCACACTTCAACAGCTCGTCAAGTCCCAAAAACATTTGTCTCCAGTCACTCCTATTTAACATGTTCACACATACCTGCTGTGTCCAAGCCCCTTGCAAAACCTTTTACCCCTTCCCTCCATCTTTTCCTAGGACAATCCCTACCCCTCCTTCCCTCTACTACACATTTACACACTCTCCAGGTCATCCTATATTGCTCCATCCTCTCTAAATGACCAAACCACCTCAACATCCTCATCAGCCCTCTGAATAATACTTTCAGCAACTCCACACCTCCTCCTAATTTTCACACTACAAATTCTACACACATTTAGGCATTTTTAACATTTTAACACATTTTTAACATTTTACGCACTTTTAACATTCTATACACACATACACATGATACCTCCACTGTCTCCAGCCTCCTTATGGCTGCAACATTCACAACCTACACTTCACACCCTTATAAGAGTGTTGGTACCACTATATTCTCATACTCCCTTCTTTGCCTCCATGAATAATGTTCTTTTGTCTCCAAAGATACCTCAATGCACCGCCCACCTCTTTTCCTTCATCAGTTATATGGTTTACTTCGTCTTTCATAAAGCCATCCTCCGACAAGTCAACTCCGAAATATCGGAACACATTTACTTCTTTCATACTCCCTCCTTCCAATCAGACAACCAATTTTTCCTTACCTAACTCGTTTGATATCCTCATAACCTTACTCTTATCTTTGTTCACTTTCAACTTTCTTCTTCTACACACACACACGTTTTTTTTTTTTAACAAGTCAGCCGTCTCCCACCAAGGCAGGGTGACCCAAAAGAAAATCCCCAAAAAGAAAATACCTTCATCATCATTCAACACTTTCACCTCACTCATACATAATCACTGTTTTTGCAGAGGTACTCAGAATACAACAGTTTAGAAGCTTATATGTATAAAGATATACAACATATCCCCCCAAACTGCCAATACCCCAAACCCCTCCTTTAAAGCGCAGGCATTGTACTCCCATTTCCAGGATTCAAGTCCAGCTATATAAAAAAACCAGTTTCCCTGAATCCCTTCACTAAATATTACCCTGCTCACACTCCAACAGATCGTCAGGTCCCAAATACCATTCATCTCCATTTACTCCTATCTAACATGTTCAATCACGCTTGCTGGAAGTCCAAGCCCCTCGCCCACAAAACCTCCTTTACCCCTCCCTCCAACCTTTTCGTGGATGACCCTTACCCCACCTTCCTTCCCCTACAGATTTATAGCTCTCCATGTCATTCTACTTTGCTCCATTCTCTCCAAATGACCAAACCACCTCAACAACCCTCTCTTCAGCACTCTGACTAATACTTTTATTAACTCCACACCTTCTCCTAATTTCCACACTCCGAATTTTCAACATAATATTTACACTACACATTGCCCATAGACGGGACATTTCCACTGCCTCCAACTGTCTCCTTGTTGCAGCATTTACAACCCAAGCTTCACACCCATATAAGTGTTGGTAACACTATACTTTCATACATATCCTTCTTTGCCTCCATAGATAATGTTTTTTATCTCCACATATACCTCAATGCACCACTCACCTTTTTCCTTCATCAATTCTATAGTTAACCTCATCCTTCATAAATCCATCCACTGACACGTCAACTCCCAAATATGGTTATAGCTATTAAACGGTTCTAGGAATAACCATCCAAGGTCAAGTCTACGACTAGGCCTCCTACATTGGAAAAAAAAAAATTACAAGAACTAGTGTATTAAGAAATACCCAGAAATCCAAGGATAAATGTATGATGAATACATGTTGAATATTGAAGAATGAGACACTTGTGCAACATCTGGGAATCGTTAATAAGGAAACGTTTTGCCAGCCAGTGGCTTCTTCAGTCCAATACAGAGAAAAACAGTTGAAGATGAGGAGAAGTTTGAGGTAATCAATCCCTCAGCCTGGAGTCGTTGTGTTCAGTCTCAAGATTGATGGACTGAACACATTGACTCCAGAATGAGGGACTGATTACCTCAAACTCTCAAAAAACAAAAACAAGTTTCTCTTTTTAACTTTAGTAATGTATACAGGAGAAGGGGTTACTAGCCTCTTTTTCCTGGTATTTTAGTCGCCTCATATGACACACACGGCTTACGGAGGAAGAATTCTGTTCCACTTCCCTGGAGATGGCTGGACAAATGATTCCTCAATAAAGATTTCCATATGCTGAGCAGGTGTCTCAGTCTTCAACTTGTTGGTTTTCTAAAATTATTTACATCACAAGTTAAAGTTTGTAAGACTTGCCAGTCACCTCTTGTGTGTTCAAAGAGAGGAAGAAAAAAACAGAAGTTCTGCTAGTGTAAAACATTTAATAAATAATGACCTGCAAAACTGTAATAACTCATTTGAAAACAAAATGAGGATTCGAATTCACAAAAAGCCAGTATTGAAACTAGCAGGCCAGTGCAAGTTATAATTAAGAGGATTTGTTTCACTCATATACGACCTGACAGCAGTACCTCCCTGAATGGTTGATGTCTAGCAATCTCTTACTTGTAGGTTATGAGCTTTGTTGCATAAAGGCAGACCAACACAAAAAATACCTGACAGTTCTAATAGCGTCAATGAGTAAAGATATTACAACTCACCTGATTGACGGAGTATTAATGGTAGCATTGAGCGGGGTAAACAATGGTCGTGCTGCTTTCTTGTGTACTGGTGTACACACTGTATTGTTGTGTTTTGTTTTTTTCAGTGAAGATAGTGTTCCTCTCTGAGGTAATGGAGTGGCTGACAAACAATCAAAACGTCGTTTCAACCCATGCTGTCAAATTAAATACATTAAGTTAACATTACCTACTTGCAGCTATAAAACAAACCTTTATATTATGAAAACTCTTAGATTCTTAAATATACTTTTGCTCAGGGAAAGTGCCACAGTTTCTATACTAGGAGGGCTTAGGGGTGGAAGTAGAGGCCTAGGAGACCTCTTTTGATGCACCATTATTATTATTACTATTATTTTTATTACAGTACTTTTTTATTTGGGGAATCTTTGGAGATCTGAGAGAATTTTGGGGACTGAAGTGCCCCCCTTCCTTGCTGCTACCCTGCTTTTCCTACTCCCTGATCACAAAAATATGGAAATGCTAATGCAATTAAAATAATAAAACTAGCATTACCATGTATTTTATAGAGTACTTCACATAGTCAATGCATGCATTTATCTGTACTCCACTGGTCTAGCCACAATGCTGCATGTAAGATGGCTTTATGAAAATAGTGTGTAGAGTTCAATTCACATAATTGTTGTCGATTCCCTATATGCAATATTTTTTGTAGATAAAATTTAGGTTCTGCAAGTTCAATCCTCCATTTCTTTTTTTTCTTTTTTAAAAGAAAAAAAAATTGCAGCAAATTCTGAAACATCTGAAAAATGGGCTAAAACCTGCCCCATTTTAAAATTGGTTATCCCAAATGGTAGACGTCCTAACCAGCCATGAATTTTAATACACCAGTGACTTCTTTCTTGACTCACTTTACTCTCAACTTCACTATACATACTTCTTTTAAGTGATCATTCATGCATCCCAGATAGTTAGATTCATCAACAGATACTACTGTGGCATTTTCTTACTCTTCACACAGAAATCAGTGATACAAGGATGAGCTGACATGGCTCATTCATGTCAGCCACCTGAAGGTTACGAGATGAGACCAAGGGCTGGGGGCTCCCCTCATCCTGGACAAACTTAAATAGGTAATTAGGAAAGTTCCATCACTCTCCACTACAAATACCTGCATTACACTTTTACTGTACTTTTCTAGATTTCTTCTCTCACATTTACAAAATTTTCCTCCTAAAAAAAGTATTTCCCATTCATTCTATAACAAGAATCATCTGCATACATCAAATTTTAAACTCTTTACTTATTCCTAGCATGCATGTCCATGTCTCACCTTGACCAGTTTCATAAGATCAACCTTATGAATATAATGGAAAAGAATAGGGTCAATAGCTATGTCATTGTTGGCAAAATCCTACATTTATATCACTAATCATTTACTATTTACACTTCTATCATAAACTCAGAAAAACATTTAAAAACATTCATCTATTCACACAATATGCTTATGCAATATCTATGCAGGTGTGATACACATTAGTCATCTTCACATACCTCTTCACTAGATGTCTCATTGCAAGTATCTTATCTCTACAACCTTACCCACCTCATTCTTAATCACCTGAACTGCAACCATCCAGTCCACTGTCCTGTACAAATCATTTCACCATACCTATTTAGCAAGTCAAAAAAGGTAGGGATTGTCTCTAAGAATTTGAAAGACTGTAAATACATGCATTAAGAAAACAAATGAAATAAAATACATGTATGTATTTACAATACTTGTAAATACATGCATTAAGAAAACAAATGAAATAAAATACATTACAGTATAAGTAATTCTTAAAATACCTTAACAGAGGAAAACACTTGAGGCTTCATCCTGATATTTCTAGCTTGTTCAGCAAATCGTAATGTATTAATGGTTTCATGCGTATTGAAACTTGCTGGGTTCACACAGGCAATCAAGGCTGTTTGGCTGCTCCCAGTAAGAGAGTCCTTGAGAACTCCTGTCAGTATGGATTCTCTGAAAAAATCAGGAAAAGATAGTGTTTACTAAATCTTCCATCACTATATTATTTAATTTTTCCACTTTCATTGTGTGGAAATTATATTTTCCAGACTGGAAACCATTATATAAAATAAATGATAAATATTCCATATAATACATAGCAATCTTCCATGAAAACTCCTACCTACATGATTAAATGTGTACCATGAGACAGACTGGCTACAATGGCCAAAAAGTGCTCTAAATTATCATGTGTGTAAAATATTTCAAATCCTCATACTGTAAGAACTAATAAATGAAATAGGTATTGTGCAGTACTCACCTATGTGGTTGTAGAGGTCAAGTCCTAGCTCCTAGCCTTGCCTCTCAACCTGCTACTTTCTAGTTTCACTCCCTCCAAGCCTTGTGGGCCCTAGTTTACCTACTCTTTAAACTATTTATGGAGCCTGCCTCCAACACTTCTTTACTGAGGTCAGTTCACTGCCCAATCACCCAGAAACTGAAGAAATACTTCTTAACATACCTGTGGCTCATGTGTCTAACTTTTAGTTGTGCCCAGAGTACCAGTTTTCTGACTCTCAAAGAGCTTATCCATGTCTACCCTATCAATTCCTCCAAATATTTTTTATGCTATCACATCTCCCCTAGTTATTCTGTCCTCCACTTTTGTTTCAGTCAATTTCATTAGCCTCTCCTCATAGCTTATACCCTTAAGCTCTGGAACAAGCCTTGTTGTATATCTCTACACATTCTCCAGTTGAACACGATTTTTACAGGAGTGGGTTCCATGCCAGTACTGCATACTCCAAGAAGGGCCTGACATATGTTGTAAAGACTAAAGAGTCCTGAATGACTTTGAGATTCCTAAAGGCTACTCTTAGATTTGCCAGATGAGCATTAGCTGCAGAGGTTATTTAGTTATCATGAGCCTCTGGCAAGAAGCTAGGCACTATGCCCACCTTAGATCTTTCCAAGAGGTCTGCACCCTCTGTCCTAATTCTATATTCCCATGCCCAGTCTTCTGGCTCCGTTTCCAATCTTCATAATCTTGCATTTACGGGGCATGAATTCAAGCAACTATTTACCTGGCCATGGTGTAATTTAACTGACATATACCTCCTCAAAGGCTTTATGTAAAATGTGACTTAATTACAGTATTAAATTTTTTTTTTTTTTTTTTTTAGTACAACAATTTACTAATATTTCAATGTTCATATTTCTGCTGCTGAAATTACCATTTATGTAAACTTTTTTTTTTAACACACCGGCCATCTCCCACTGAGACAGGGTGACCCGAAAAAGAAGAAACACTTTCATAAAGTTTTTCTTCTCTTTACATGCAGCATTTTATATGGGAGAAGGGGTTAGTAGCCCCTTGCTCCTGGCATTTTAGTCGCCTCTTATGACACACATGGTTTACGGAGGAAGGATTCTACTCCATTTCCTCATGGAGTTATGCAAACATGTATAAAAGTAAAAACATTTACTGATTAAAATACTACAAAATATCACAGTGAATAAAGTAAAAACATAAATTGTGCAGAAGACCACTTAACGTGTAACACAAAAGAAAAATAAAATGTTATCATACCGGTAGGAAGCAAAACTATCTGCTGAGTTACTAAGAGCAGACAGAACTTTGCCTAGTGCTAACAGATCCTTATTAATGTTGACACCTTCCTCAAACTGCAGTTTGGATGTTTGTGCTCGTCCAACACTTTCTGCTCCAGCTAGGTCCACTAGTTTAAGGCATCCACAATGATTTTCATTCTAAAAAGTAATGTGCAAATAAATAAGAAGCAAGTTTATAACTTAATGATAGACAAGTGAAGCATAATTCTCTCTTCCTCACCATGTACCAAATCCCAGAAATAGGTTCTCCTTGACTTACAATGGGATTGCATTCCGATGAACCCACTGTAAGTTGAAAATATCCTAAGTTGAATACAGTGGAACCTCTGATCACGAACCCTTCAAAACATGAACAAATTGGTTCACAACCAAAATATTAGCTAAATTTTTGCATCTGGTCACGAACACATAATCGAGTGACGAACAAACACAGCCATGCCATTTTTTTCGCACGTGCCTCATCAACAAAACCTGCGAAGGCGTCATATACCGGACCTCGAATTCAGCGTGGAAGAAACTTTTACCTGAATGCGTTCCTGAACAAGATCTCAAAGAATTTGAGACCTCTGTTGTGGAGGAGAACGTGTCCATGGGCAAGAGCATGGGTCTTGTAGTTGACAGTGACGACATCGAGGAACTGGTAGAGAATCACGAGGAGGAACTGACAACAGATGAACTCGATGAGCTCCAGAATGAGCAGCATAAGGTGCTCACTGAGGAGTGGTCATTGGTGGAAGAACAAGAAAGGGAGGAGATTAAAAGTGATGTGATAAAAGCCATCACAGAAAAATGTAATGAGTGCCAGGGTTTCTTTGAGAAGAACCACCCTGAAAAAACTGTTATAAACAGTGTTGAACATGATGAATGATAACATGGTCTCTCATTTTCATAAAGTTTTGATGCGAAGGAAAAGACAAGTCACATTAGATCGGTTTATGATGAAGCTTGGTCCACCAGATAAATGAGAGAAAACACCTGAAGAAGAATGTCCCTTCATCGTGGAGGACTCTCTCTCAAAACAGTAACCTCCTCCCCACTTATGTTCCTCCTCACCTTCACGCCAGATGTCGACTCATGCAAGGTTAGTTTCCTTGTTTGTTTATGGTATGCTTTTTCTGTTATTTAAGTTTTTTTCTCTATTAACCCTTTGACTGTCGCAACTCCAAATCCTGAAGTGTCTCCTGGTGTGGAAAATAATAATAATAAAAAAAAAAAAAAAAAAAAAAAAAAAAAAAAAAAAAAAAAAAAAAAAAAAAAAAGATTAATTTTCTGATTGTTTCAAGCCCCAAAAATTTTAACCTCCAAAAAATTTTTGCGATCAGTACTTACCGAGATACAGAGGAGTAAAGCTGGCAGAAAATGAGCTGCGTATGGCAACAGTGGCGAATGCCGCTCACCCGGTAGACTTTGGTTTATTGTATTGGAAGGTTTCTTGTTTTTTCACTATTTTATTTTTTCACATAACTTATGTGGCCTGTGAGACCAAAGTAAGGTGCAATGTACATATATACACTCATTGTATACAACACAATAAGCGCACAAACATAATTATCAATATAGTTTACAAAACTTGTTTACACAAACATACAAAATTTTTTTTATTACTAATGTTCTATAATATATATACAAATGTACAGTCACTGGACATATTCCTAGAAGTTCTGCAGCTTGTGGAACTCTTTGAAACATGGTTTCATACACAATGGTGTTTTACACTCCTCACACAAAACGAGTGTCTCTGTTTTTGTGGGCGTTTTTTTGTATGTGCACAGACGAAACACCTCGTCTGAGCACTTTTCTTCGTAGTAGCAGCAGGCAGTTGTGGTAGGTAGTTTTTTTTTTTTTTTTTTTTTCAACAAGTCGGCCATCTCCCACCGAGGCAGGGTGACCCAAAAAAAGAAAGAAAATCCCCAAAAAGAAAATACTTTCATCATCATTCAACACTTTCACCACACTCACACATTATCACTGCTTTTGCAGAGGTGCTCAGAAATACAACAGTTTAGAAGCATATACGTATAAAGATACACAACATATCCCTCCAAACTGCCAATATCCCAAACCCCTCCTTCAAAGTGCAGGCATTGTACTTCCCATTTCCAGGACTCAAGTCCGACTATATGAAAATAACCGGTTTCCCTGAATCCCTTCACTAAATATTACCCTGCTCACACTCCAACAGATCGTCAGGTCCCAAGTATCATTCGTCTCCATTCACTCCTATCTAACACGCTCATGCACGCTTGCTGGAAGTCCAAGCCCCTCGCCCACAAAACCTCCTTTACCCCCTCTTTCCAACCCTTTCGAGGACGGTAGTTATCCTAGGTAAATGTTCCTGTGTCATCATTCCTACTTACCTTTCTTTCTCTCTTCATTCTTTCCTTCCTTCCTTCTGGTTTCTATAATATAATATATACATATATATAGCCGGACTCGAGTCCTGGAAATGGGAAGTACAATGCCTGCACTCTAAAGGAGGGGTTTTGGGATATTAGCAGTTTGGAGGGATATGTTGTGCATCTTTATACGTATATATGCTTCTAAACTGTTGTGTTCTGAGCACCTGTGCAAAAACAGTGATTATGTATGAGTGAGGTGAAAGTGTTGAATGATGATGAAAGTATTTTCTTTTTGGGGATTTTCTTTCTTTTTCGGTCACCCTGCCTCGGTGGGAGACAGCCGACTTGTAAAAAAAAAAAAAAAAAAAAAAAAAAAAAAAAGTCACTGGACACTTTCATTGGTGTGTGTGTGTGTGTGTGTGTGTGTGTGTGTGTGTGTGTGTGTGTGTGTGTGTGTGTGTGTGTGTGTGTGTGTGTGTGTGTGTGCACGTGTGCATGTGTGCATGTGTGTGAACTTCTAAATGTGTTGAGTCAGGATCTGGCAGC